GTGTAGTGGTGGTGGCGATGGTAACGTTGTTGTCTGGGGTATGGGAGCTTGAACAGGGGAGATGCCTGATTTCGCCATTTGTGATACCCGCGTAGAAGTATACAGCGAGAAGCACTCCGGCTTTCGAAAATAACACATTCTCGAGATTTGGACACGACTGCAATGTCTACAACAACCATGGACTCTAGCCTGCGCATCTACTTCTGTTTTCTTCTCGCAAGAATGTGCACGGTTTGAAGCTAGGGAGCGTGGTAATAGATGGGAATCGTCATTTTCAATAAACGTATTTAGCTATCTGGATAATGGGTAACTTGATAATGATTGACAATCTGTAAAAGAAACAGAAGATAGTGTGACGCATAGCTGTTCAGATACTTCCCACAAGCGACGAGTAAGAAGAGTGAACAGTAAACAAAGGATACAGAATTGGGGAATGACAGTGTGGGTCGTAAATGCGAAATGAGCTCGACGTAGTACGGCTACTGCAAATGGTGTAGCTCATGTTATGTCCAAAGTGCGAGCTGGAGTGGGTTGCATGTCGTAATAAGGGACGGTGTAGAATGTATAAGGCTCAAGTGCCGATAGGGTTGTAAGGCTGGGCCGGCGTATCGCTTGAACTGGCTTCGGCTTTGGCACGTCAAGAATGTGGCGACTTAGCGTTCAGATTTACTTGTAGTAGTTGGTGTTTTCGTAGGTCTTCATTTCCTGTTGTGTGGTTGGAGGGCAGGTACAGACAGTCACGATTACGCCTCTACCCTCTTGACCTAGACACGAAATCAGTCAACATCACAAATGGGCTGAGTTAACTCACGGCCGTGTGCCATACCATACGTCCGCCACTCCCCATTTATTAGCATGTTAGGAAGTACATGTGGCATCTGTTCCGGGGCCATAGCGAAGGCGATAAGGGCGAGAAAGATGGCAAGCTCTCCTTTGAGACCGGCATACTGTTCATATGGGGTCAATGTTGCACATTGCCAGTAGATATCTGGAAGCAACATTCCCAACCAAGCTTGGTTCGTTCGGCGGTAGTGAACCGTACGTTTTGAAGATACGTTGCACAGATACGAGGAGTAGTCCGGGCCGTGATCGAACTTGAGAGTCTGCCAAGCCTCGTCCTGCGGTGGACTTGTTGCATCTCCTCGCAACACCGAGAAACCTAAGCCGCCGGTATAAAAGATCGAGTAGGTTTGGTAATGTGCTGTGTGTCGGGGAAACTGGGACGAGTACTCTCGGATGTTGTAGCCGTCACAATACCACCATTTATCCGACACGCCACCGTTCACTCGGACATTGGCTCCAGGAACTACCGAAGGTGCCTCGTCGCGTCCGGCGTTGCTGACTGTGATAGCGGCGTTTGGGTTTTCGCGTACTTCCTCGATACGAAAGAAGTAGGATAGCTAAGGTTTGGTCAGACTGCAAGGCCATCAAGCTCGGCAGCGGATACAATACTGACCATGACGTATCTTAGTATTGCGCCTCTGCGCAACGAACCCTTGTGGAATGGTGTTATACTCCTGCTTGTGATTTGGTACTCTCGCCCTGCTCCAGACCATTACAGCCCCTCACTCGACACGTCTTTATCCTTCTCATCGCCATGCGGCTCTGCGTTTAGTGACTTGAAAGTAACAGCATCCTAGTCAAGGAGGTCAGGCGACAAGCTCCTACATGACAGCAGTGCGGGACGGAATGTCTGATTGACGGCCAAGATTTCGGAGCAGCCCTCTGATAAGCTAGAGATGCCCTGAAAGGGGCATGGCGCAACATCCTGCATCGGCTGCAGCAGACGTATACGTGGGCCAAAGGTAATCAGCCCAGAATCCCTTACCCCGCTGTGAACTTTTTCATTCCCTGGTCGATGATCTATGTCGTTGTATAGCTGCCTCGGGTTTTCCGGGGGGGGACGGTATAGGCAAGCAGCATCTGCATGTCTTGTGTCGTGTTTCCTGTCCTTCGAGGACTTTGCTCTATGAGAATGGAATCTTGCCATGACAGCATCATGATGGCAGTAGTGGTTCGGTAGCTGTTGGCCTTCAGCTGCATCTCAGCAAAAAGCATCGGTGTCAACCGGCCGTGGATCGCGCCCAACGTGTCCCATCGCCTGCAGCATAACAGCCGGTCTGAACCGGCGAGCCAACAAGATGGAGTGGCACAGCGCCAACCCGAGAGAGATCAAGGGTGGATCCCTCCTAGCGAAGCGCCTTGCGTGTGCCGTCCGTTGCACGGCACTTGTTGCGAAACAGTGGAAGAGCCATCTGTCGAACAGTCTAGCCGAGAGGCGTGGCCAAAGCCTGGTTTATGTTGATCCCACGACTGCAACGTGAAGCATGTGTTGTATTCGCGAAGGTGTTGCGGCCACATGCACTATGATTGCCACCAGAATCGTTGTGTCCTGCTTGTGAGTGAGTGGAACATCGCTTCGCAGATCAAGTATGAGCAGGACTGAATAATGTTGCGTCGTCAACTATGCATGCTTTTGTTTCGTATGGTCAAACCATTGCCGCGATAAGATGTGCATGTATCTTGGGACAAATATCCCAGAGGTGCGGCTCTGCGAGAAAGAGGGGTTATAAAGCCGGCGTACGGACATTGTGGACCAACGTTCCTCAGTGGGCGCGTATTGTATTGATCGACCGGCAAGCGTCTCCGACTCTTTGTGTCCGTTCGGCGGCTATTTGAAGCGACATCTAGAAGTTGGTTCAAAACACGTCTCGAGTAAGTAGAACAGAGCGGCTCCCGATGTATGAAGGGCGAGTGTGCCTTAAGTAGAAAGGAACCGGCTGACAGACTAGGCGTGCGGCCCCAAGACGACCGGAGGACCTTTTTCTGCCTGTTCGCCTTCTTTCCTCACTTTCAAGTATGCCTGATGCTCTTCATTGGTGAGCCTTTTAAAGAAATTGCCGCTAATGTGCAATGGATAAGTACCCCTTACCTAGTTGGCGGCAACAACCTGCTGATCGAAGCAGATGGTTCCTGCAACCTGCATGATCGTGGAACTTTCTTCACCGGACGACGACCCTTGTCGTCTCGTGTGTTCGCCCGACAGCAACGCAAACTGGCGGGAATTACGAACAAGCACTCACCGGTCGACATGGCGGCCCAGGCACACGGGATGAACTTGCCACGATAGAAGTCATGCGCACTTTGACGGCTCAACTCCCAATCAACAGACTTACTGCTTGTATGAACCGCACGGAACAGAGCGCTCTCTATCGAATCGAACCCCACTGCCGCGCCCGGCGGCTACTGTCAAATCCGGAAGCCGGTCAGATAAGGCAAACTGACAATATGACCCCGCACCGAAGCCTCGGGCTTCAGAGCGGATACCGCAAAGTAACAGTCAAGGCGGCGTGGCCGAAAGAGGGGCGTATCACAGCGTGCGCGGCTTTGATGTCCTGGTGGAGAGGCAATTCGATCGGAATCCTGACACTATACAGGCCTCAACAAAGGATATGCGCTCACATCAGGGTGGGCTTGTCTCGATATTGGCATAGAGCACATGGACAGGAGCTGTTTGGTGGTAGTCTATGACACATGCGGCACAGGTAAGGTTCATGTCTGATCTGAGACGCACTAATGGCCAGACAACGACTGACTTAGTCGGTAGCAGTATCCCGAGTGGCTCGAGCCGCGATGAATTGGTCATCGAGAGCCCAGAAAGCAAGCATCCATTGGCTAGGACCAGAACGCCGCTTCTAGACGCCATTTGCAGGAGTAAGATCTGGTCTATGGCGGGCCAAACTGACGAGACGGGCCATTGACGCCGCGATCGTGAACCTATGGAGCAACCCGCCAAGAGATCACCGGCGGTACGAGATGGACTCGAGGAAGTCGAATGACAGCTCAGCCGAGCCGAGATTGGTCTCTATAATGGCCCCGACCATGAGGTGAGGGTTTGGACACCTTATCCGGTTCTGCGGCATGCGATGGTGGGAAGCAACCGTCGGGACCTGGCGGTACCCGGGCTTTGGTCCGGAGTATACATGACCTAGATGCTTCTACGCCGTATGCTGGCTCCCGTCACGTTCGGATCAGGCTTCTTTCATGTCGCCTGAGTTATAGCAACTCTCCACCAGTATTGCGATGCTTGCCCATGCCGTCAAAGACTCAAGAGCTCGAGTAGGCGCGTCGGTACGGCAGTGTGGGAGAGAAGCGTGTACGAATGGAGAGGCCCTGCAGGCATCGGTATGGACCCAGCCGCTAGGACGCGTAGGAATGCAAGTAGCGCGTCGGTCGGGGAAGGCACGGCGCCTGGCTGCAGGAACAGCCATGGACAGGAGCGTCAAGTATGACGGCGGATGAGCAATAGGTGTAGGAGGCTGAATTCAGGGCTGGACATGAGGTCTGACGCTGGGATGAAGTCTGGTACCGGCTGCGGAAGCTAAGGCAAAGACGCGGTCTTTCCTCCTGGCGATTCGGACACATCGCCGCCCGACCAATCACGACCCACCCGCACCACGTCAATTGTCTGCCTGAAAGTGGCCCGCACGACGGCAGACTGTGCTCCGGACATTGGCAATTCAGGGCAATGTCCTAGCAACTCGCTATCGCGGTTGAGGATGGCGGCGAGTACGCCACCCAGCCTCTTCGTCCGATGAACGTGGTCCTAGCTCTGGTAAAAGGGGAGTTTCGCGTTGCTTTTGCAAAGCTGACTCGACACAGGAGAGCTCACAATGACGGCAATTATCACGTCCAGAGAAAATGTTGTATTGCTCCGGATGTGTACTGAGGAGAGTCCGTTCTAGCCTTGATATCAAGTCGCGAGCCATTCATCTTCAAACCAACCAGGGGCGTGTATACGATAGGCGGAAACTGCTATTTGCCCCCCGGGTCTATCATTCACTCTATTCACAGCAGACGACGCCTCTCAAGCCTTCGGCTCTATAGGATAATGCAGAAACTGCAATCCTTCTCGTTCATCTTTGCTGCGGACATGTTGCGCGGAATCTTGAGCCTGGCTTAAAGTCAGCGTGGTCCTCGATGCAGTTTGCCTAGAAGTCTCACGAGTAAACCATATGTCCAACCAATACGTCCTTACACCCGCCAACCAACGTCTCGATATCGCGCTTGGTTTGCTCAGACTCTTGAGCATGCGCCTTTACAAGTCGGGTCTCTGCCTCCAACAGCCTCGCCCAGCTCTCCTCCACCATCTTCACACATCGATCGACGGCAACCTGCGCACTACATCCCTCGTTCCATACCATCACCGGGATGGCAGAATCGATATCGCCGTCGTCTATTTCCTTCCGCAAGCTCACAATGTCGTTCCAGAGGAAGTCGGAGATGGCTACTTCGCGCGTTATGGCTACTACAGCTTCGTGTTTCCAGATCGACGGTGGAAGAGTGAGGTTGTAGGCCCATTGCATGACAGCAATGCACGGGTTTGTACCAACAGTTCTCAAACGGCGCGCTGTATATTCCTCGAGAGTAGACATCCCTTGCGCCCATGTAGCCTGAGATGTCTTGACGCCGCGGATAAAGTCGTAGATGGTTTCAGCAAACCGATCACGTGCTTCTGCAATGCTTGTTAGCTAATATCTGCCTAGCAAACTTTGGATAGACGTACCTCTCGACTGGCCCTTCTGCATTGCTCTTCCTATGTTGACCCATGGACCGCAGTTATGCAACCGCCCCGGTGCCGGAACTTCGCCAGAGAGTTCTGGCTGCAAGCAATGTCGGATGAAATTAATTGTGTCGTCACAATAAGCTTCGGTCTTGTCACGATCATCTGTTAGAGTACCGCAATCGATCTCGTCATCCCAGAAAAAGAACTACAGTTTACGTTAGTCGACAATCGCGATAAGGAATTGGGCCAAGTTACCCAGGCCACAAGCTCTCCTAGAATAACAAACTTCTCTGGTTCCACATGTGTCCAAAAGTATCCCGCGCAGAGTCCGTTGTCTACCCGGCGTTGCTTCTTCCTTTGGCTCTCGGTACTGATGAACGTTTGGAAATATCCCTCTAGATGCTGTCTCAGCACCAGAACATCCGGGTGCACTTTAGCTGCCCAGTCCGTGTATATGTAATGCACATCCGGAACATGGATTTCTTGATCGCGAAGACGAGCAATAATCCTGGTGCGATGGTCTCCGGGCTTGGTCGGAGCTTCCTTAACCGTGGAGGAGGCGAGCTGTTTGGAGCTGTCGGTGAACTCGGGCATGTAAGAAGATCTCGATCTCGATCGCTGGAGTGGGTAAGTGTGATGACGCTGAAGAAGGAAACAACAAACGATTGAACAAGACTTACGCGTCTAAAGTACGATCTAGGAAGCGACGTCCAAGCGCTAAGAATACTAAGAATCGCCATAACGACTCAATAAAAGACAAAAACCAAGTATGTTGTTCAAGACAATCGCGGCCTCAGTAATATGGTAACGGAACAGAGGTCTTTGTATACTCTCATACCACGCCGCTCACATGCCCCTCGGTAGTCACTTCCCCGTCGCCTGGGGTCTCGAGGCGCCCTACCATTCACATAAAGCGCTCTTTCACTGCACCTCCGGTAAACGTGATCCACCCCCGAAGAGCCCCCAGAACCAATCGCAACATCTCAAGCTGGATTGAATTGACGTAAGCGAGGCGTTTGGGCACAGTCCACATGCGTGCTATGTAAGGAGCTATGTAAGGGTAATGCGTTGTTACACGGACTCGGCTGTCACTGTACGCCACGTTTCCGCAGTTGTGAGACACGAGAGCGTCCAGCTCCGAATCACGATATACCACTGGGGCAGATGAGACGGCCACCGATCGTCTGAACCCGCGCAGGGTCATCAGCTTGAGGTCAAGTCTGGAACTACATCTCAGCCACCACTGAAATACACTTGCTGACTGCCAGTCCTTTCGCTCAAAATCATTGCGCATTGGCTTGTCGATTACATCACGAGCTGATAGGTTTTGCGCCACTTTCCTGCGACTGAGCCACTCTCAGGCAGCTCTCAGGATACGAATAATGGCACCGTATAGTATCGCTGTATGCACCACATCCTGTCAGACTATAGTGGCGTTGCCCCCAATGAGTGCCTGCTGAGTCATATGTTTAGGCCTTCCAAGACACGGACCCATGGCTTCACATCCGCAGCGCAGGGGCCGAATGCTGAGTGCAGGTAAATTACGTAGAATCTAAAGAACTACCCTGCAACTCGAAGCACGGAATAAGAGATACGCCAAGTCATACTGCCGATCTAAGGACCTGCGCACGCACTACTGCGTCCGTAGCAATGCAGCAAAATGTGCCGAGTATCTTGAAGTGTTATCGGCATACAGCTCGTTTGGATGCAGCTCGTTGACCCTTACATAGAGGCCGCATGTCCGATAAGATAACCGAGCGTGCCGAGCCACAATCGGCTTCCCGGGTCTACTATGCCACCCAGTCACAGGCGTAGTGGCGCTTTGGGAAGTAAGACTACTGGACAATGCAGTTATGGCACATAATCACAGCACGGCGATATACAAGCGGTGTGCACTACGATACCCATCACGCGCTATCAGAATACAAACGTGTAGTGCATGAAGGTATATTGGAAGGGTTGGAGGATCATGTTGCCGTACGGTCGTCAGACATTGGATTGTGTGCAATCGAATGGGACAGGTGGAGCGAGGCGGCAGGGGGCCATCTACTCAAATATCTAGAGAGGACAAATAGAAACTTTTAGGATATCATGCGTCTATCTGAGACATATCTTCCGATGATCAACCAAGAATGGCTCAACACCATTCGCCATGAACCTTTACGCCCAAAACCCAGTAAGCCGGGTGACCCGATGGCTTTCACCACCACATCAGATCATCCGAGTCCGCCTGACCAAAAGTCTGCATGCCCCCAACTGCTTTGGCTCAGTGGCAGCCACAACAGCATCCTACGTCCTCTTCTTCGCATTGACGTTCTTGCCTGCGCCTACCTTGACTCTGCCACCGGCTCTGCCCCGATCGCCTGTCAGAATGCCCGGCAGATAGTTGTCATCCATGAGGTCCCTCGTCCTGGTCCTCTTGTCCTCTTCAGCGCGCTTAGTGTATTCCTTCTGGTCTTCAGCAAGGATGAGGTCTCGACCCCAGCCGCCTTTGCCTCCTCCCTGACCATGACTCCACTTTGTGTTTGCAGTACCTGCGATGGGCTTGGGGATGCTGTATTTATCGCCACGCTTGTTGTACTGGTAGTTCTTGGCTAAGTGGATCTTGAACTCTCCAGCGGCGTTTGTAGAGCAGGAAACCCTTTGTAGGGTTGCTTGACCACAGCGGGGGCAGAATTGCTTGTCCATTTGCTTGACGATGTTGAAACAGGCGTGGCACCGGAGAACCTTGGTGTTGACGTTCTTGATGCGTTGCATGTTTGTGGAGAGAAGTTGGAGATTCATCTGGAGCAATACGTTTTGCATCGCAAAATCGATCGTCATGGTTGCTACGTCCAGCTGGCGATTGGCTGTTGTGTGAATTTGCGGTTGGATGGCTCCGTCCTTGGCTTGGTGTTCTGTAAGGTTCTGTGGAGTAATCCAGTCGCCATCAGAGTCAGACTCCGCAGCTGAATCGTCAGTCGTAGGGGGCGTAGGTTGTTGAGTGGCGTGATGGGATACCGAGAGGTCCTCCAGTTCCTGCGCCAGTTTTGATTCGTCAGAGCTGACTTGCTGGGTTTGTAGATCCTGCTGGCTGGAGGTCTCAGGCGTGAGTGAGAGCTCTGCCTTCTGCTCGATGTGGATGTTAGTGGTGGGCACCTCGACCGCCGCCGATTGGTCGATTGGCCCCTCCTCACCAGCCTGTTCTTGAAGCTGTTCTTGAACTTGCTCTTGAACCTGCTCTTCGATCTTGTCCTCCGCCTGCTCTACAGCTTGAGACTCGAGCTCTCCCCTGCCCTGTTTCTCAAGTTGCTCGTGAATCTGGTCATGCACCTGCTCGTGAACCTGATCCTGAACCTGTGCAACAACCTGCTCATGTACTTGCTCCTCGACCTGCTCCTTAGTGACAGCTATTCCACCTTCTGCTTCGTCTGTTTCGGCTTGGGCGGTCTGCTCCTCCGATTCATTGGCTTGTTCCAGGCTGCTGTCTAACTCCGCTGCGGGCTTGAAGTTGAACTTAGTAGATTTGGGCGCTTTGGCCTTCGCCGCCCGCTTGCCTGTAGGCTGCTCCCAGCCTTCATCAATGTCCTCTGGTTCGACAGATCCGGAATCGATCTGTACGCTTTCCGTCGCATCTTCAGCGGTATCTTCGGTAGTCTTGTTGGCTGCCTTCCGCCTGTTCTTGCGCTTCTTTGCTGAGGTGGAAAGGCCCCCACTCTGCGATTTCTCCTCGTTCGACTGCTCGATCTCTCCAGGCCTCCTCTTTATTTCTCCTTTGGGTATTTCTCTCAGGCCCCAGTCGCCACCGTTCCTCTCACAGTGCACTTCGTAAGCCAGGGCTAGGATACCCAAATCCTGCCTACTGAGTACCGCATGATCACCTGTCTTCTTGCTAAACGCAATGACTGCATCGTAGCTTGCCGGCTGAGGATTCCGTATCTTCAGAAATGGGATCAATGTTGTCTGTACACGTGACCGTGTGGCTTCATCGCGGATTTCGGAGAGGATAGCAGGAGTAGTCCATAGTTCTTCCGCGGCGTTGATGATAGTAGAGATCGATACTGTGTTCTTGATCAATGGGCCCGTATCCAAAATAAGCGAGTGAATGGGCTTTTGCTGGGTCGCAGTGGGTGTTGCCATTGCGCGGTAGACCGGCAGTAGTCGCAGTCCGGTAAACAGGAAGTTTCAGTTTGTTGTACGTGGAAAGTTGAGATCCTGATATTAAGTTCGGAAGTTTACAAGGTTTGGATCGTCAATATGACTAGGGCGTGCCGCTGGTGTGGTAGAAGATTTCGCGATGGTGGCGGTGGGGCCCGACTTTTTTGGTGTGAGACCCTCACGAATTTTGATTGGCCGGATCGCGCTGGTGGCAGTAATCGGAGCCTCGTGCTGGAAGTAGATGAGTCGACGCTGGTTCAACATATATTGAGTCGAAATTTTTTTGTAACACTGAGAGACGGCCAAGATTGTATTCCATAGCCCTTGAAATTGTTTTTAGTCTCGTTGGTAAAGTCGAGAGTCTCGATAGAGTGAATCCTTCAAACGCCGCCCAATGCTAAGTCGCGAGTCTACCCCAACATCGCTTGTGGTATATCGTACACATACATCAATGACATGAATTCCATCCCAGGTTCGACTCATCGTCGTGATGGTCGCCTTACAGACTCTACGCGATAGGTTTGCTTCTCTCGTCCTCTGGCATACGCATATACGCATCGATAGCCGCACTGAAAACTGCGAAGCCTGCGCATCCTACGGCCACGGCTTGCGGCCCAGCATTTCTTGCCAATATACCTCCAGTCAAGCAGCCCCCCGCCACTCCGTTGTACAGATCGTTCTTGGCTCGGAGCCCCTCGATTGCGCACTCGGTGCCTGAGAAAATAGCACCAACTTTGGCGAAGTTGCGTCCGCTAGAAATTGAGGATCGGTACATGTCGCGCAGGCCGGCCCGTAGTTGCTGGCGTAGGGGAAGGTCGGTAAGCGGTACGGTACCGGTAGCGGTGGGGTTTGGAAGGGTAGCAGTCGCAGAGGCCGATGGTGCTGAAGTGAGAGTGGCTGCGGATGCGGAGTTGACGCTACCGGCAGTTATCGTCGAAGGCTTGACGCCTGCCGTTGCCGTTGCGCCGGTGGCTGCGGTTGTAGGTTTTGTAGCCGGCGTGTTGACGGGGAGGGGCTGTGACATCGGGGTATCGTATCGCATCTGTGCATGTCAGTCGTGCCTTCTCTTTCTTTCGAAGCTATGAGTTGTTTGGCCACATACGGAAGCCATGAAGAGCCCAAACATAGCACCCAGACCGCCACCCATTACGCCTGCCATTACTGTCTTGCCGATGCAAGACTCCATACCCATTTGCATCTATTCGCACGTTAGCCATGGTTCCCCAAACATGTTATTTGACAGCCTTGTATAGCCAGCTACGCCATCGCGACATGCTATCCTGCTCCACCACAACTGCATAGAGGAGACGGGGTCGCACATACTGCTTTCACCATTTGCTGCTCCTGCTCGGACATGCCTGCATTGGGATTCATGGCGGCTGGCATGGAGCCCACGCCTCCTGGAAAAGCCATCTTCTTGAAGCTGATTACGACTGCGGCACGGAACAAGCGTGAGG